TACTAAAGACACTGGGAAAGAACATGGTTCTGGAAATTGATCGAACACAAATTTACATCTTTCAACAAACGATGCGGCACTGGAGGCAATCACTCATCTATGCCAAGAAATTTAGAAGACAGCTACCTAGTTAAGTGATCGGAAGAGATAAATATTTATGCTTATTCCAAATAAAGGTGACGCAACAGAATGCAGAAATCATGAACAATATCAGTATCACATGTAAATAAAATTTTGCTAGAGATAATTCAAAAACAGCTGCAAGAATACATTGACAGGGAACTTTCAGAGGTTCAAGCTGAATTCAGATGAGGATGTGGGATATCATTGCTGATGTCAGATGCTTCTTGTCTAACAGAAGAGAATACTAGAAAGATGTTTATCTGTGCTTTATTGACTATGCAAAGGCTTTCAACTGTGTGGATCATGACAAGTTATAGATAACACTGCAAAGAATAGGTATTTAGTAACACTTAATTGTGCACATAAGGAACCTGCACATAGACTAAGAGGCAGTCATTGGAACAGAACAAGGGGACACTGAATGGTTTAAAATGAGGAAAGGTGTGTGCCTGAGCTGTATTCTTTCATCATACTTACGAATGAGGCCTCAGGATTGCGATATGTTTGCTTGCTGAAACTGAAGAAAATACTGGTATGGGTGAATATAAAGAAAACAAAAACCTTTACCACTGGACCTATAAATAACATCATGAAGTAGAGAAAAGGTTTAAGCTATCAAGGCTTCAGTTTGCTTGGATCCACTATCAACACTCATGGAAGCAGCAGTCAAGCAAAAAAAGGATATACTGTATTAGGCAAATCTGCTGCACAAGACCTCCTTAAAGTGTTCAAGAGCAAAAATGTCAATTTGAGGACTAAGGTGATCCTAACTCAGCCATCCTATTTTCAACAGCTTCGTATGCATATGAAAGACAATGAGTAAGGAAGACCAGCACAGAAGAATTGATGCATTTGAGTCACTGTGCTGGAAAGAGTATCAAAAGTACCACGGACTGCAAGAACAAACAAATCTGTGGTACAAGTATAGCCAGAATGCTCCTTAGAATCCTGGATGGTATGACTTTGTCTCTCATACTTTGTCACTGCAGGATGGACCAGGTCCTGCAGAAAGACATCATGATTGGTAGAGTGGAGGGTCAGCAAAAGAGAGGAAGACCCCTAAGCAAGATGGACTGGCACCGTGGCAGCAGGTTACAAGGGTAACCACGATTATGAGGATGGCACAGAACCAGGCAGTGTTTTGTTATGTGCAGAGTCGGAACTAAGTTCATGGCATCTAGCAACAATGAATGGTCCACAATAATTCATTTTTTTTGTTGTAAATTGGGGTTTATTGAAATACCACTTTTAAAAGAGAGGAAACTAATTTCAGATTGATATATCCCAAAGAAGCTCTTTAAGGGAAACTTAAAACACATGCTTTTTTGTTTTGTTTTCGTTACAGTGGGAAAAAAAAAAAAAAAAATCTGATGAAAGCCCCAGAGTATTCTGATCACAAAGGAAGTTATTTTCTTCCCTATTCTACCTGCATTCAGAATGTATAATATTTATTCTCGGTGATGCTAAGTCAGCAATTTTTTTTTTTTAATCTTTTGGTAAAAATAAAAACAGAACAGAACCTGAAACTGTGTATGTTGTGTGAATTATAAGCTTACTGACAGCAAATATGATACTATACCTATTCTAAAGAAAAGCAGCCCTGATGGTTTAGTGGGTTATGTGTGGGTTACAGATTTCTAATCCACCAACTACTCTGAGGGCAAAAGAGTGTTTGAGCTCCTGTAAAGACATATAGCCTCAGATACCTTATAATACAGGGTCACTTTGAGTTGGAATCGACTCAAGGGCACACAATTACCACAAACCACTATTTTAACAAAGCAATCCTAGGGTAGGATAAGCACTGGACTGCTAACTATAAAGTCAGCAGTTCAAACCCACCTGTTGCTCCTCGGAAACCCTACACAGGGTCAGTATGAGTAGGAACTAACTTGAGGATACTTAACAACAACAACAACAACATTCTAATAAAGAGTAACTATTGGGCAATGAAGTATGTATCATCACATTTGGAAATAATTTATAATTTAAATTGTGGTGGAAGTTTATTATGCATAGTAGAAATAAAAAGGCATAATGTTTTATTAGGAACATTGGCCTTTAAAAATTAACTCCGCTCAACTTGAATTTCAGAGTCCTGGTGTGGATAAGCACTAGACTGCTGACTGCAAGGTCCCTACACAGGATCACTATGAGTTATAACTGACATTAACAGCACTTAACAACTCAAATATCAAAATACTCGTTATAACTTGAAGAGATTTACTTGCCATGCTTAAAATATTAAAACGCATGGCTATTTGTAATTCCTAGATATCTGCCAAGCCACACACACTATTGCAACTTTAGTTTGAATAGTAAAATAAAATAAATGAATCATATAATATCAAACATGCTATAATTATTCTCACTTGCCTTTGGGAATTTCCAAAGTAAGAGCTCACACTGAATTTACAGAGAAATTTTCACCTTTAAACATTTCACCTTTAAACTTTACTAAGTTAAGGCCTCTCTAGTACTAATACTGGACACTGGACACAAATCCTCCCTGCCCCCTACTTCTGACTACTACATGGTGGAGCAATAAATGAAATAGTCAAAACACACTCAGTGACACCAGTATTAAAGTCTAGGTTGATTTGTCAATTTAAGTGGTAGCTAACTTTAAAATTCTTGAAAATTATAAGTTTAATAATTACTACAATGTTTCTTACAACAATCAAAAAACCAGAATGCAATCCTGATAGCTAAGAATAAACCATGGGAAACCTGTTAACATTTTATTTTAAAAAAATGAACAGTTTCAGAATAGATCTAAATGTAACTTTTCCAAAAAAACACCAAAAAGTACAGTGTAAAGCACCTCCTTATTAAATACAAACTTTCATTTTGTGATGCACTGCATCAACGTTTTGCATACATACACCTTGATGCAAAGGGAATTTTAAGTTACATTGCATTTGAAACAAAACAAAAGCCAAACAAACATCCACTAACATTAAGATATGAAAATGGATGACTACTACCACATTAATTGCTACAAACTCCAACAAAGGAAATTTTCCCTTCAACAAAACATATCCTTTTTTTATATACACAACATATAACACTCAAGAGTTTTAATTTAGTTGTACTAAAGGCAAAATTTTATATTTAAAAAGAAAATTAAGTTACAGATACACAGAACAGCAAAAGTTTAATATACCAAAGACATGTTGGATGCACTTAATGTCATTATTTGGGGCAACTTCAAGATTTAAAAAAGGCATTAATAATAGCTTTATACAATAATATTCAAGGTAACTCAAAGGGAAAATGAAAAACACCTTTACACAAATTGTTCTAAAGACAGTAAACTTAATCTCAGTTGTTTTCCTTTGCTTTAAAACAAGCCATCTCTAAAGCAGTCTAAAATGTATTATTTTTGGATTAAGTATAAGCATTCATATTTGCAAAAATGTTTTGCAGTGGGTCCTTGGCCTCAGTGAAAAGCATAAAATGGCTAAGGAGATACTAGCGTTTATTTTCAAATTCTGTGACTGGCTTCCCATAATCCCTTAATAGTAGAAATGCTGGCAAAATATCAGATATTTAGGATCGGATTTAATTCTTTGGTATAAGCATGAAACCGTTATTGACAGCTTCTAAATAAACCATTATGTAAGAAGGCTAGTTTACTTAAAAAGTAACCCAAGGAGCACAAAAGAGACAACAATGAAATCAAGTATATAATTCAGGGCAGGCAGAAAGGATAACATAATGTTTTGTGAATAGGAAAAGTCAACAATAATAATACACTCTAGAGAAGCAATGCCTACTTAGATGTCTTAACATTATATAAACCAAAAGGTCATACTTCAAGATGACCCAAGCTTATAATTTGTAGTTGGAATATTTCACTGCACTTTGGCATTTTACTGTAACATATAGTATACAACTATGTAGAGGACTCAGCACTATCTTGGCACAACAGACTAACTTGTTCATATACTCTTTTGGGCGTGGGGGACCTTTTTCTCCCCATAATTTCCTGAACTTTATATCATAAAATAAATCAGAGATATAAAACAATGTTACAATTTAACTCTGTTATCCTTGTATTTTTTTTTCCCATTGTGACATAAACACGTATATTTTTGTTTTTAGAGAAGTACAGTTTTAATTTAGAAGTTTAAAAGCTTAGAAATTTTAGCTTTTTAAATATGAAGAAAGTGTAGGACTTCATGGCTATTAATTTTACTACCAAAATATCTAAAGGATCAATCCATTTTAATAACTTTACTTCTTTTAAATATCATTTGAAGAATTCTTTGTAGAGACTAGACTCAAAATTACACTATATCCAAAGACTGTACCTAAAATTTGGGCTTTGAAGTTTTCCGCCTCAGGTACTACCTTCTTCAATATGATGCTTTCATTCAAGCTTTCTTCACTGACTAACCTGTCAGATTTTACATCGGCTCTTCTCATGGATCTATCAGATAATTTTGTAAACATACATTTACAGCCTCCAAACATCAACAGTTTAAACTGAGACTAATGCCTAGGCATTAACATTTCTTGTTAAAAGTCTGACACTTAAGATTTACAGCTCTAGGGATTAACCTAATATATCTGAAAAATTAGTTCCAGCAATTCCCATAAATCTTATACCCCAAACAGGAATCCTAATGAAATTAAAAAATATATGTGTCTCCACTGAAGAAAAGGCAACTTGTACTTATTACATCAAATACTATTAAAGGATAAATGACAGCAACAAAGGGATTTACTCATATTTCTGAAGACCAAGATTTACCGTGGCAAAGTCAAAGGAGATGAGATACTAAATACCACTATCATAAAAATAATCAATTTCTATCTTTCTGCTGCATGAGGAACAACGAAGTCAAATAGAGAATTATTCTGTCTGGGCCACCATAAAATCTGTAAGAACAAATAGATATATTCCCTGTTATTCTTTCAGGGCATTATTTTATACATGTTAAAAAAAAAACAAACTTCAAAAATAAAGATGAGTTATTTAGCCTTATTGACTATTTTCAAATAGTTTCTTGAATTTCTGTGACAAGCTCTTCAAGCAATTCAACTTTTCAGACAAAGTTGTCACTCAATAGTCCTTTTGACAAGGGATCTATCCCACAGTTACAAAGCGACTTCCTCCTTTGTTGAAGGTGAGAGTGGCTCTTTGTTCCTTCAGGATCCCAAACCGCTCATTCAAAGTCATCCCTGTCTAGAGAAAAATAAATAAGTAAGTAAGTAAGTAACACCTTGACTGTAAGCCATATTTGCTTTGGAACAATGTGATCATAATAGTAATGAAAAATAATAGCTGAAAATTTCTAAATATTTATGTATATGGCCTCATTTAATCCTAACAAAAACCATAGAAAATGGGTGGAGTTAGAAGTTAACTTGTCTAATAGCTCCAATATATAAGCCAAGTAGTCTGACTCATAATTTACATCCCCTAACCAAGAAAGTCCTGGTGTGGCACTTTGCACCAGACTGCAAAGCAGTTTGAACTGCAAGGTTGGAGATTCAAGCTCACCAATCACTCCTCGGAAACCCTATACAGGGTAACTATGGGTCAGAATCAACTCAATGGCACTTAACAACAACAAAAACCAATATAATTCCTACATTATAAACCATATACTTTACATTCATACATAAACCATATACATACACAATACACTATTGTGCCTACAAGGAAGCGTGGTAGCACAGTGGATTACAAGTAGGGTTGCTAACTACAAGGTCAGCAGTTCGAATCTACCAGTTGCTTTGCGAAAAGGATGAGGCTTTCTGCTCCGATAAAGATTTATAGCCTGGGAAACCCTATACAGGGTCGCTATGAGTCAGAACTGACTTCACAACACATCACTACCACCACAATGTCTATAAGCAATACATCAAAGATGCCTCCTCTATTTGAATCACTTTCAGATTGTACACTCTTACCAATGTGCCTCTGACATGGTTTTTGGGTTTTTTTGATTACTAGGAAGTGCATCCAAATGACACTTTCAGTGATAAAATAAAATAAAAATGCACAGAATAAATCTGGTTAAATTTCTGTCAACACTATGGTCTTCAATTTCATAGATTCTTTTTTAAATGGACATGAAAACAAAACCTGAACAAATCCCAGCACTCATTCACGATAAAAATTCCCTGCAAATTAGAAGGGAACACCCTCTCAATATGATAAAAGGGATTTATAAAACCTGGTGGTAACATCATTCATAACTATGTGTGGTGAAACATTTCATGGTTTTTCCTTAAGCTTGGGAACAAGGATACATGCTTTCATCACTCCTATTCAACGTTGTACTGGATGTCTTAGCAATTACAATAAAGTAAGAAATAAAAGGCTTAAAGACTGAAAAGGAATTTCGAGAATGACAATTGATAAAACCAAGTGATATACTACTTCACACCCATTTGGTACAGTCAAACAATAGATAATAACAAGTGTTGGTTGAGGACAGAATGAAATTTGAAACCCTCAATCAATGCTTTGCAGCTGCTGTTGATATGTGCCCTTGAGTTGGTTCAGACTTATAACAACCCTGTAGGATATGGTTTTTGAGGCTTTAACTCTTCATGGTAGCAGAAAGACTTATTTTTCTCCTGTGTAGTGGCTGGCAGACTTGAATCAGATTTCATGGTTTGCTGCCAGTGCTTATTGGAAAGAGCCACTGGGATCCCTCATACACTGCTAGTGGGGATATAAAATGGTGCAGCCAGTTTGGAAAACAGCTTGGCAGTTACTCATAAGGTTAAATACAGAGTTACCAGTCTAGCCTGTCAAATCTACTTTTCTCTTTACCAGCTCATTCAAAACTTCATCCCTATTTACAAAGACATCTCAAACCATTTGACATATGTATGATGTAGTGAATATACCATCAATTAAGGGATATCGAGTCGGGATAATCTCTCCCATGTCAAGATACAATTTAAACTTAAAATCTTTTAGAAAGTGAAAAGATAATCTATAAACATGGATTTTCCTCCCCCTCTCAGCTACTAAATATACTGTGACAATGCTTTGAAACTTCTGGGGGGGGAAAAAAGCGATCAATCTAGTACATTTTAAATACAGAAATAAGTAGTGAGTGATAAAACATGGAAGCTTTTACAGCAAATACACTAGCAAATATTTTGTGCAAATATAAACAAAGCTGTAAATGGTCTGTATTTCCTCTTTCTTTTTATTACTCAACAGACCACAAAAACATATTCAGAAAGGAAAAGTTTAGAGAACAATATACTGTGGAACAAAGTTAAGACCCAGCCACCATCCTTCTATATAACAAGGTGCTCGCTCCACTATCCTTTAGAACCCAGCTTCCAAGGAGTTATTCCTTGAATAAATCATGATAGAAATACTTTGAAAAGAATGGTAGTAAGCTTATTCCACATAGAAATGGGACCCAAGCAATCAGAAATGGTTGAGAAACTGTCTTCCCATCCTTCTTCCGAATTGCCTCACTTCCAAACAATGTCCTTATAAAGCATGTAGTACACAGAGAGAAAATCTCTAGGCTCCTATTATGAACACAGACCTTTATAATATTTAGTTGGAAAAGATAAAAAGCTTATTATTAATAGCAAGAGTTGAACACCACGATGAAAATATCTATTGCCACCAACCTATTGGAAGACTTCTGGTGTAAGCACTGTAGGACAAGCACAGGACTGCAAGGTCGGTTTGAACCACAAGGTCAGTGGTTCAAACTCCCTAGTCGCTCCTTGGAAACCCTACACTGGGTTTTCAGAACTGACTCGATGGCACTTAACAACACTTAACAACAACAACCGCCTATGTGAAGACTGTTCAGATGGCCAGTATTTTGTTACCCATGTAGTTACCACAGTAAAAATACTACTACTAATAATAAAAAAGAAAAAATGCCATCTTTCATTCATTTACTAAATTAGTATTTACTGAGTCTATCACATTATGCTCAATTCTAGGGACAGAATAGTGAAGAGGAAAAGCAAAATCCTTTCTCTCATAAAACTTCAATTTGACCAACAGAAAGCAGCAATTAGTTTGTGTAACTATAACTGGGATAGATATCAAAAAGAGTAAAGGATGCTACAAGTAGATATAACAAGGGAAAATTGACCTAGATTTCAAAGTTCTGAGGATGACAGAAAGATATTATTGAGTTGAAAGTCACATATGCAAAATGGAATAGTTCAACTTGAAGAAACTTGAAAGAAAACCAAAAAGAATACAAAACCTAGAAATAATATAGATACTCTGGTAGCGTAGTGGTTACGAATCGGGCTGTGAACCTCAAGGTCAGCAGTTCGAAACTACCAGCGGCTTCACAGGAGAAAGATGAGGCATTCTGCTCCCATAAAGATTTACAGCCTCGGAAACCCTGTGCAGGGTTGCTATGAGTCGGAACTGACTCCATGGCACTTAACAACAACAACAACATATTACTGTGAACACTGGAAAATTAATATGAAAGCATAAAACTGTACCAAATTAGCTAAGTTGCCTAAGACACCTTATTTAATTTATCCAACAACAGTTGTTGTACTAATGAAAATATTCTCAATGAATGGCCTGAACAATATAGAGGAATAAAAACTTACTTGCTTTCCAACACTATTTATGTCAAATTGTAGAGGAACACCTTTAGGAACTTTCTTTACATCAGATTGCTCCCGTTTTGTCAAGAATGAGGGCACAGAGGTACGAGTTAATCGTGGTTTCTGAGTTCTATTAACATAAAATGAAAATTAAAACAGATCAGCATAACAACGAAAAGAAAAAGAGATCATTTGCCACTTAAAACACCTTGACTTACACACCAGTGTTTAAATAAACTGGGGCTGTACTGTGTCCTCAAAGATGATTTCCAAGGACTGATCCTCTACAAAAATAAACGAACATCTGAAATTTTTGAAACCCATCTTTCTATTTCAATGGCTAGTTTAAAAACTCAATAAACCTAGAATGGTTATGAAATATAATTAAGCTTATACAGACACACAAAATATTTAATAAAAAATATTCATAAAAGGGATATCTATTTGTTCTCTAAAATGTAAAGTTGTTCAGGATATGAGGGAGCTTCAGAAAGTTCATGGAAAATGGGATTAATAAATAAAATTAACTGAATTTTCCCACAAACTTTTTGAAGCTCCCTTGTACAATCAATCAGCCACCACTTGTCTATCAGTCTGTCATACTGTGGTGGCTTGTGTGTTCCTCTGGTATTTGAAATGCTAAATTTTACAAAACCAGTGTTTTAAATACCAGAGGAACTTGTATATAGATCAAGAGGCAGTTGTTCGAACAGAGACGGGAACACTGAATGGTTTAAAATTAGGAAAGGTATGTATCAGTATTGTATCCTTTCACCATACTTATTCAATCTGTATGCTGAACAAATAATCAGAGAAGCTGGATTATATGAAGAAAAACATTAGGTCAGGACTGGAGGAAGACTCATTAACAATCTGTGATAAGCAGATGATACAATCTCGCCTGCTGAATTTCAAGAGAACTTAAAATAACTTATTGATGAAGATCAAAGATTACAGCCTTTGGTATGGGTTGCATCTCAATGTAAAGAAAACAAAATTACTCACCACTGGACCAATAAATAACATTCTTATAAATGGAGAAAAGATTGACATTGTCAATGACTTCATTTTGCTTGGATCAATAATCAATACTCATGGAAGCAGAAATCAATTGACATACTGCATTAGGCAAATCTGCTGCACAAGAACTTTTTAAAGTATTGAAGGGCAAAGATGTCAGTTTGAGGACTAAGGTGTGCCTCACCCAAGCCATGGTATTTCAATAACCTCATATGCATGCACGATTTGGAAAGTAAATAAGGAAGACCGTAGAATGGACTGATGCATTTGAGTTAAGGAGTTGGGAGAATACTGAAAGTATCATGAACTGCCAAAAGAACAAACTGATGTATATTGGAAGAAGTACAGCCAAAGTGCTCCTTAGAAGCCAGGATGGCCAGACTTCATCTTCATCGTTCATACTTCGGACAAATTGTCAGGAGGGACCAGTCCCTGGAAAAACGTTATCATGTTTGGTAAAGTGTTAGGTTGAATAAAAAGAGGAAGACCCCCAACAAAATGGATTGGCACAGTGGCAGGATCAAAGGGCTCAAATGTGAGGTTGGCCCAGGATCGGGCAGTGTTTCATTCTGCTGTGCACAGGGTAGCTAAGAGTCAGTACCAACCAGATGGCACCTAACAACAACGTACACTAGGCCTCACACAACTGAAACTTTGTTGTACTGTGGTGGCTTGTGTGCTGCTGTGATTCTGAAAGCTATGCCACTGGTATTTCAAATACTAGCAGAGCAGACTCACCCATGGTTGACGGTATCAGCGAAGATTCCAAACGAAGAATTAGAAGGGAATAGGTAGCTCAATTTTCAGGGACACTGTCTGATATAGTGTTGGAAGATGAGGCCCTCAAGTTGAAAGGCATTTAAAATACGATTGAGGAAAAGCTGCCCCCTCAAATTAGAATTGACCTTAATAATGCATATGGAGTAAAGCTTTCCATTTCATTTGCTTATGAAGCATAACTCAAATGAGAACAAACAGCTATAAACATCCATTAATGACTGCAAAAATAGAATACATGAAGTATCAATCTAGGAAAACTAAAAGTTATCATAAAAGAAATGGAATGCATAAAGATCAATATTCTAAATATTAGTGAACAGAAATGGATAGGAATCTGTCACTTTGAACTGGACAATTGTATGGTTTACTATTCCAGAAATGGCAAATTGAAGAGGAAAGGTATTACATTCATTGTCAAACTGAAAATTCGAAGATCTTGAAGCACAATGCTGTTTTGAATAGGAACATCTATATGCCTGCAAAGAAGATCAGTTAATATAACTATTATTCAAATTAACATGCCAACCACCAAATCCAATAATGAAGGAACTGAAGAATTTTACCAACTTTTTCAGATTGAAATTGATCAAACATGCAATCGAGATGCACTAATAATTACTGGTAATTGTAATGCAAAAGTTGGAAACAAAGGAGGGATCGATAAGATCATTAATTTATTCATTAATTGCAACTACCTTTTTTTCAACAAGATAAAAGGCAACTAACTATGCATGTGTACCACATCAGATAAAATACAAAGAAGCCAAGCTGACTGACTATACCCGAGCAAAAACACAGTAGAACAGTTCATTAACATCAGCCAAAACAAATCTGTAACAAATTGATTATATCAGCAAAAGCAAATTGCTCATCATATGCAAGTTCAGGCTGAAGCTGAAGAAAACTGAAAGTCCATGAGAGCCAAATACAACTTTGAGCTTACACCACCTAAATTTAAAGACCATCTAAAGAACAGATTTGATGAATTGAACACTAATGACTGAAATCCAGAGGAATTGTAAGATGACATCAAGAACATTACACATAAAGAAAACAAAAGGTCATTAAAAAGACATGAAAGAAAGAAATAACCAAAGTGAATGTCAGGAGAGATATTTGGATGTAGACTAGCTAAAGTGAATGGAAGAAACAATAAAAGAGTTGAACAAAAAGATAGCTCAAGAAGAGAAAAGTATTATAATGAAATGTGCAAAGACCTGTTGTTAGAAAACCAAAAGTGAAGAATACACTCAGTATTGAAGAACTGCATAAAAAAAATCTAAGTATCAATAAACAACACTGAAGAATTCTCTAAGCAAAATATTGATAGATGCAAGAAGCATCAAAAGACGACAGAAGGAATACCTGGAATCACTGAACCAAAAAGAATTGGTTGATGTTCAACCATTTCAAGATGTCTCTGGTAGCGCAGTGGTTACGAATTGGGCTGTGAACCTGAAGGTCAGTAGTTCGAAACTACCAGCTGTTCCGCAGGAGAAAGATGAGGCTTTCTGTTCCGGTAAAGATTTGCAGCCTCGGAAACCCTGTGTAGGGTTGCTATGAGTCGGTTCCAACTCCATGGCACATACCCACCACTACCATATAGCTTAAGAAAAGTGGTACTGAAGAAAGAAGTCTAAGCTGCACTGCAACAGTAGACAAAACAAGGATCCAGGAATTGATTGAATCTCAATTGAAATGTTCCAAAAAATTAATGCAGTGCTAAAAGCATTCACAGAGTCCTGCAGTGGTGTTGTGGGCTAATGCATCAGACTGCAAAGTTGTATGAACTGTAAGGTCGGTGGTTCAAGCTCACCAGCTGCTCCTAGGAAATTCTATACAGGGTTGCTATGGGTCGGAATCGACTCGACGGCACTTAACAACAACAAAAGCATTCACGAGTTTACATTTAGTGACAGCCATCTGACTGGAAGACATCGATATTTTTGCCCATTCCAAAGAGAGATGACACAATAGAATGTGGAAATTATCAAACAATATTACTATTATCATATGCAAATTTTTTTTTTTTTTGAGACGATAATTTTAAAACAGTTGGAGCAGTATACTGATAAGAGAGCTGCTCAAAAATTCAAGCTGGATTCAGAAGCAGTCATGGGAGGAGGATATATATCAGTGCTGATGTTAAGTTGAATTTTGGCTGAAAGGAAAGAATACCAGAAAGATGCTTATTTGTACTTTTTAGTGCCTATGGCAAAGGATCACAACAAACTATGGATAACATTGTGATGAAGGGAATTCCAGAACACTTGACTGTGTGCATGTGGAACCTGTACAAACACGAGGAAGCAGTCATTCAAACATAACAAGGGGATACTGCATTATGTAAAATCAGAAAAGATGTGCGTCAGAGTTGTATCCTCCCACCATATTTATTCAATACATATGCTGAGCAAATCTGAGAAAAGGGAAGTACATGAAGAAGAAAGTGGCATAAAGATTGGAGGCAGGATCATTAACAACTTATGATAGGCAAATAACACAACCTTGTTTATTCCAAGTGAAGAGGACTTAAAATGTACCAGTGAAGTGCAAAGAAGATCAAAGACTACAGCCTTCGTATGGATGTAAAGAAAACGAAATCCTCACAATTAGACTAATAGGCAACATCATAATTAATGGAGAAAAGATGGAAGGTGTCATGGATTCCACTTTACTTGGATCTACAATGAATGCTCATAGAAATCAGTGAGCAGTTAAGAAATCAAACAATGTTAGGATAAGGGGACAGAACGAAAATTATGGGCAGCAGTGGAAAAGATCAGAGGGGCAACAGCAGGAAAGACCAACAGAACCATGAAAAATACACCCTGAAAATACAAATAACAGAGGCAGGATGTGGGCAAGACACGTAAACTATCACCTTGTCAGGTAGGCAGGATATAAGTAAGATTATTAAAAATCAATTGCTCAATAGAAAGCTCGGGCTGAAATAAGAAAATTAAAATCAGTCCACAAGAGCCAAAATATGACCTTGAATATATTCCACCTGAATTTAGAGTTCATCTCAAGAACAGATTTGACGCATGAGACACTAAAGATCAAAGACCCGAAGAGTTGTGGGATGACAACAAGAACATCATACAGGAAGAAACCTGTAAGTCATTAAGAAGAGAAGGAAAAGACCAAAAAGGACGTCAGAAGAGACTCTAAAACTTGCTCTCCAGTTTAGAGATGGAGTCCTGGTGTGGCACTGTGGGTTAATGCATTGGACTGCAAGGTTGATATGAACTGCAAGGTCAGTCACCAGCCACTCCTTGAAAACCCTTTACAGGGTTGCTGTGAGTTGGAACCAATTCAACAGTACCTAACAACAATACCCAAATTTCTCTATTTTGTGACATATTGTAAATGCTAGCCTCTATGCCTGTGATTATAGCCCCATTTTGAAATGAGTTGCTAAGAAGCAAGATTAAGGTGGGGGAGGAAAAATTACAGTGGAACTAAGGATGTCCCCACCTTAGTGGAGGGTGTGACCTGGCCAACTGACTGGACGAGATTCTATTTGTGCCAATTCCAAAGAGAGATGGATGAGTCAATGGAATGTGGAAATCATCAGAAAACATCATTAATATTACATGCAAGTAAAATTTTGAAGATAATTTAAAAACAGCTGCAACAGTACATTGACAGGGAACTGCTAGAGGTTCAAGTTGATTCAAACAAGGACAGGGAACAAGGAAGATCATTGGTGACATCAGATAGATCTTAACTGAAACCAGAGAGTAACAGAAAGATGTTTACCTGTGCTTTACTGACTATGCAAAGACTTTCAACTGTTGGATTGAGCTATAGACAACATTTTGGAAAAATCACTTAATTGTGCTTATGAGGAACCTATATATAGACCAGAAGGGAGTAAGGAAACACTGAATGGTTTAAAATCAGGAAAAAAAGAAACACACCAGCCCCTACCCAAAGGCTCCGGGAATGGGCATTTATCCTCTAAGGGAGGAACCTAGAGCAGGGGATACTGGCTGAAAGTGCAGGGCTGTTATACCATTTCCAGGACAAATACTGTCTGCATGATTTTGTTTACATGCCTGAGTATAAAAAACATGTATGTAGAGAAATTTCATTCTAATATTAGGAGCCCAAATCTCTAAAACAAAAATAAACTACTTGGGTATGATTGGCTACTACAGGAGTACGCAAGTTGTTCTCCAGGAAGCCATCAAGGCAAGCAATCAAGTCCCTTCAGCACAAACCCCCCTCTAAAACTGAAACTCAAAGGGAACACAGGAGCAGGCATGTAAGCTTGCTGGCAACCACAATGGTCTGCTGGTGACTGGAAGATGGGGAAAGGCAGCAATGAAGAAATGGGCTAAGTTCAACCACAGTCCACAGACTCCCTTTAACCTGGAGATGACAGAGAGGAAGGGCTGGTTGGTCCAAAGTGTGGTTATAACTAGGGACTCCTGAGCCCATGGACAAGGACAGTCACAGAGGGCTAGAGCTGAGTGAGAGTGAAGCATCCAGCTGATATGAAAGGAGAGGAGATGCACAAGAAAATCCAAACTTGCAGACAGTACCCATCTGACCTAACCTCAAAAGCTTGATAATCAGAACTTGACTAGAGGAAGATAATAAAAAAAACAGTTTTTGATGAAGGAAATGAGTATAAATCACTACAATTTGATGAACTTGACCTATACTCTTGTATAAACAGCTCCCTAACCCTCCTAACTACTCTAGTTCAGATATAGAGGAGGCACAAAAAGATTTTCTCCCAGATGATCGGGGCTGGCAAAGGAACAGTCTTGAAGTCCCCTCTGGCTTTCTTTCCTAGGTCTATGGTGAACTGTCAAGACTTTTCATCAGAGCACTCACTCCCTGCACATCCTAAAGAATTTAACTGGAGGCCAGCAACTGTCCTAGGTGGGAGCTGCTGTGGTTCGAGCATATGACCAATGCCAAAGGAACAACCCTCACTATCATAACCCACACCTCCTCTAGTGACACCTGTCCAACATACAGGCTCCCTGAAGAGGGAAGGTTGGCAAATTGACTTCACTGCCACACCCCCCAAAAAGAGTTTCAAATATCTACTTGTCATATTGCACTGGGAAAATTTGCCGCAAAAGACCTCTTTAAAGTGTTAAAGAGCAAAGATGCCACTTTGAGGACTAAGGTGCCCTAGTATTTTCAATCACCTCATACTCTTCTGAAAATTGTACACTGAATAAGGAAGACTGGGCAAGTATTGCTGCCATTTGAATTATGATATTGGAGAAGAATACTTAAAGTACCATGGACTGCTAGAAGAACAAACAAAATCTTGAAAGAAATATAATCAGAATGCTCCTTGGAAGCAAGGATAGCAAGACTTCATCTCACATACTTTGGACAGATTCTCAGGAGGGATCAGTCCCTGGGGAGAAGACAGCTTGCTGAGTGAAGTAGACGGTCAGAGAAAAAGAGACAGGATCCCAAAATGAATTGGCAGAGAAGCTTCAACAACAGGCTCAAATGTAACAATTCCACAATGAGGGAACAGGGCTGGGCAGTGTTTGTTCTGTACAGTGTCTCCATGAGTCAGAGCTGCCTTGATAGCACTTAACAACAACTTGTACACTTGGGGGGTGAGAGACAGAGAAACATTTATAGTACTATTCCGTTTATTGTTCTGTGTATATAAATATGTATGTATACATTGCTATGTATAAACAGAATCTAAAAAAAAAATAAAAATTAGGTTTCGAAAGAGGATACTTTGGGGATGTAGAACCAGGAACTGAGGGAACTATAGCTTTATTCTATTCTATACTACTTCCATTTTCTGCCATGAGTGTATTATTTTATCTGTGCATCTTATATACCTAACTTGGACATCATAACCTGAGCAGAAGTCCAATACTTTTCCATTATATAATGACGTTGCAATTTTTTGCAAAAAAAGTAAATAAAGACTTACACTGGGCACTGAACCGCTCCAGGATTATCAATGGATACAGTCAAAATTCCTCCACTTGTGGTGGAAGTCCTCCATCTAGTTTCCAAAAATGAAAAATTTTCATTAAAATACTTTAGAAACCATCTAATGTATTCCACATGATAGCACATTTTTAAAGTAACCATTAACTTTTTATTTGCTTTTAAGGAATACAAATACCTGGACCCCACTATGATACAATAAATCAGAATCTTGGGTATTAGAAGTGGATTCTTGAATTCATTTAATATTTTTCAGTGTAATAAATATATGCATATTGAAAAAATAATAGATGAATATCCAAATACCTCTAACAAAAATCAACAGTCCCTTCCCTCATTATTCTCTCCCTTTGTATTCCTGCTCCCCAGAGGCAGTACATTTAACCCTTCCTGTGTGTATTACTCAATGGTTAAGCCCACTACTTTGTTAAATAAGAAACTTATGTATTAAAGTCTTGCCATGATGAATAAGAATAATTCCATCTCCAAGTGTTGATGCCTATCACTATTTTATTTCCATTATAACTTTAAATTTCTGTTTTTCAACAGTGTCTCTTGACTCCTTTTCCCTCCTTCTACCTGTTCTACTTTGTATCTAACTGTCAGTAGTTGTTAGGTACCATCAAGTCAGACTCATAGTGACCCTTTGTACAACAGAACAAAACACTGCCCGGTCCTGGGCCAACCTCACAGTTATTGCCACGCTGGGGCCCACTGATGCTGCCAATTTACCAATCCATCTCTTTGGGAGTCTTCCTCTTTTTCTCTGACCCTTCACCTAACCAAACATGATATCGTTCTCCAGAGACTGGTCCCTACTGACAACATGCCCCAAGTATGAGAGATGAAGTTTGGCCATCCTGGCTTCCAAGGAGCACTCTGGTTGTACTTCTTCCAAAAATGGCCACTACCAGTCCATTTCAGCTCACTAATGCCCAAGGCATCAATGTTTATGCATTCCATTTCATTTTTTGACAATTTCCAATTTTCCTAGATTCATACTTCGTACATTACATGTTCTGATTATTAATGGTTACAGCTGTTTCTCTTCATTTTGAGTTGTGCCCCATCAGCAAATGAAGGTCCCATGGGCTTTACTCCATTCGCCTCATCACTGTCAACTCTACTTTAAGGTGGCTTTTCCCTAGTCGCATTTTGAGTGCCTTCCAACCTGAGGGGCTCATTTTCTGGCACTATACCTGACAGTGTTTCTCTGCTATTCATAAGGTTTTCAGTGACTAAACATTCGGAAGTAGTTCGTCACTCTTTCTTCCTAGTCTGTCTTCCCCTGGAAGCTCATCTGAAACCTGTCCACCGTGGGTGACCCTGCTGGTATTTAAAATACCCGTGGCATAGCTTATAGAATCACAGCAACTCACAAGCCACCACAATATGAAAAACTGACAGACGAGTGGTGGTGCTACCTTTATTTACATTAGTCAAAACTTGACATTTACATTATATACTGTTATCAAATTAAGCTTCTATGCTTTGTCCATAGGTTATTGAAACAAATAAACTGTATCATACTACCACAGTTAAGTAAATATTGTTCATTTCAGAGGATAATATGCTAGGATCATGATTTTCTTCCTTATGATTTCCAATATAATGCCCCTTGAGCTAATAAAATCTACTGCTAAAATAAAATCCAAATAGCATTGAACTGATTACATTGCAGCTGATCTAGATCGTGTCCCATTTTAGTTAGCATCACACCTAGAACACAATCACATTTCATTTCCCAAAAAGTACCATAATTGCAAATGATTTGATCTCAAATCTAATCATATTGATAAAATGTAACCACTCACACTTGGGAAATGTCTATTCTAACAGATTACACATATTTTTAAAATACTTTTATAAGATAAAATAAAAGAAAGTAAGAGGAAAAATAATGCATGGTTACAAAAGTTTCTAAAAACTCTACTTTTCTATTTATTCACTGACTAGTTCATTTATAAACAAAGATAGCTAAAGGGACAAAACCCAAAAACTGTTATTAAAGTAGAATGAATAAAAATAAAATAATGCACTTGATGTTAACACTGTTATAATACTGACACACCTGAAAACATAAAAGGTTTTTTGAAAAAGAAAAAAAAAAAAAAGAATTTCGGGTTTAATGGTTAATTTACTTTGAGACTCAATTAATTTTTTTTAATGTGACACATGCTAATTTGGGTAGCTAATATCTGCGAGTTTTGAAATTACATCTTGTAATACAAATGGAGACTTACTGACGAGTTCTCTTTGCTACTACATCGTCTAGCAGTTGTTCTGTGTTCAACTGGGCCTGAACCTGAAGAGAAAAAAAAAAGCAAAAGGTTCCCACAGAAAGCAAAGGATTTGAATCCAAAGAGCTACATCCTGCTAAACAACTTTATTCAGTATGGTATGTGCATGAAGGAGTTTGCCTATTTTGACATCACTCCATTAGGATTCCTGTTATTAGAATAATGAGTGGTAAATACATGTTTATTCCTATATAAAATGTTGCTATGGAGACACAAAAAATTGGGAATCAAAAAAATGTAATAGAAAGAACTAATCATGTTTTTCACACCCCAACCTCAACCCCTACATCTCAATCATGGGTCATACTTATAATTGAGGATCACTAAAGGTTCATGATTCTTTAGGTAAAACAAAAATACCAACAATTAGCTTTTATACCTTTAGGCCTCTTCTAAAAAGAAAAGTTGCCTGACGAGTATCTTTCTGATGGCTTAATTTACTTCCACTTCTGGTAAAGTTGGCTGGAATGTTATTTCTGCAACAAAATCACATATACTATGAATAATCTGAGATATTTAATAAGCAATTTACAAACATCTTGGAAAAAAGAAACAAAAACCTGTTAAATTCAAAGGCTAAATATTTAAGGTACATAATGAATCCACTGCTTATCCCGTAGCGTTATTGCTAAGTTCCGACGAGTCGACTCTGACCCATAGTGACCCTGTACAGGGTTTCCAAGGAGCAGCTGGTGAGCTTGAATCGCTGACCTTGCAGTTTAAACGGGTTTGCAGTCTGGCGCATTAACCAACAGCACCACACAGAATAAGTACCAGATTGCTGTTTATTCTGTAGCACACCAGCACATCAAGGTTGGTGGTTCAAACCTGTCAGCTGCTCCTCAGAAACCCTATACAAGGTTGCTATTAGAATCCTGGTAGGAAACTGTAGGATACGCACTAGACTACTAACCACAAAGTTGGTGGTTCAAACCCATCAGTGGCTCCTAAGAAACCCTATACAGGGTTGATATATTGGAACCAACTAGACAGCACTTAGCAACAACAAATGTAAAGATGACTCTGAATTATCTCCTCATTTATATGAAGTTACTGACATTTGATTTAGAAGTGTCTTGCTCTGCAACTATCACATAATTTTGAACTAATTTATCTCCAAATACTCAGCTCTCTAATATCTGGACATATTAGATGAAGATAGCTATAGTAATATTTTAATGCTATTTTCTATATTTGGTGTAGAAGACATCCATTTTCAGCATTGCCATTAGCTGTTATTTAGTTGACTCCTAGCTCATGGCAACTCCATGTATAACGCAATAATCCTGTACTATCTCCATGATTGGTTGGAGATCAAACAGTTGTTTTCATTGGCTGATTTTTTTGGAAAGTAAATATCCAGTCTGTTTTAGTCTGGTAGCGCTGCTGAAACCTACTCAGCATCAAAGCAACAAACAAGCCTCCACTGACAGGCCGTGGCTGCACTGGCTGGAAATTCAACTCCAATCTCCAGTCAACCACCAAAAGACAATCACATCTACATACATCTTTGTCAAACTACTAAAAATAAAAAAAAATTAACGGAAAATCTTTAAGAAAATATCTCTTCCCCTCCCTCTTCCTTTACAAACAACTTTGTATGTACTTTTAATAAACTTGATTTGACTTTTACCAACTCTTTTCTGATTTTTATAGGAAGTTGATAGGTAGTAAAGTGCCAGAAAACAGAATTTCATGTATATGTGTGTGTATATATATATATATACTATATAAATAAGTGGAGTCCAGGTATAGCCCTGTAGGGCAAGCACTGGACCGCAAGGTCAATTTGAACCAAAAGATCGGTGGTTTAAACTCACCAGCCATTCCTCTAAAACCCTATACAGGGTTGCTGAGTTGGAACCATCTCGACAGCTAACAACATGTTAATTGGGTTACCTAGGGAAATTTTGCATTTGAATCTCCAAAGGTTGGAAATAACATATAAGTAAGTATTTAACTGGTTATCTAATCTTATTTTATTGTTGTTAAGGAGTTGGTTCTGACCCATAGCGACCCTGTACAGGGTTTCGGAAGACTGGCTTGTTAAGTTTAAACCGCAGACCTTCTGGATCAAAGCAACTCTGCAGTCCAATGCATTAACCCACAGTCACACAAGGACTCCAATTAACATGTGGTGGTGGTGGTTATGTGCTGTGTGGAGTTGGTTCCAAATCATAGCGATCCTGTACAGGGTTTCTGAGGCTGTAAATCTTTATGGGAGCAGAAAGCCTCATTTTTCTCCCACGGAACAGCTGGTAGTTTTGAAGTGCTGACCTTAAGGTTCACAGCCCGATTTGTAACCACTAAGCTACCAGAGCTCCTTCCAATTAACATGTAGTTTCATGCAAATAGCACTTCTTATTTGAAAAAAAATCCCCCTTTTCCATAAGGTGCTATCATCAAATGATTCCTAAAAGAAAAAGAGATAATGGTTAAGTAAAACTTCTATTCTTTTTAAGAGTCATCGAATCAGTTCCAACTTACAGTGATCCTGTGTAGGGTTTCCAAGGTACAACTGTGGGTGTGAACAGCTGACCTTGAGGTTAACAATCCTACACCACACCAGGATTATATTCTATTTATTCTATTTTAAGAGACCTCATAAGTTTTATTTTAAATTATCCTCTTTAGCAGATGAATAAATGGTACGTGAAACTAAAATAAAGGAAACTTATCAGCTTCCCTTTGGATTTGAATTGCTATAATGACAACAGATCATAATTTTTAAGCGTTCACTATTCCTTTCAATTTACTGTTAAAATAACTTCAGCATAAAAAGCATTCATGTAGGATACATTCAAGCTTGTTTTTCCACAAATAGCATGCATTATAATAAAGTATACTATTAAAAATTACCAAGGCTGTGTTAACACATTAAGCTTTCAGAATTCCCAAATTTGAGTAATTCTGGCTGAGTTGTTAGAACTTTTACCAAACAATCAGCTTTTATTATTTTTCTCTACATATCAAGAGAGCTAAAGTAGAAGAGTGATGCTTTAAAATTGTCCAAATTGAAGTCAACACTTTAAGAACTGTTTAACCCTTAGGGAACTGGATTAACCCCAGAGACATTCTGCTGCTTTGCTTGTCAGGCGTGGGGAATGGGGAGTTAATAGATGTTACTGATTCTGCAATAGTCCATCAACTATCATAGGTTTTATCCCCTGTTAAAGTTTTCAGAAGCTAGGCAAAGCATTGCGGTGCCTGGCTCTCAAACGTGCCATGTGCCTTTGCTCTCAGGTCAA